CCCCCCCCCCCTCCTTCATTTCCTCCCAGCACAGCTGCTGGGACAGTTTTTCCAGCAGTAGGAAAAGGGCAGCTGCTGGCCACTTCAATCCCTCAAGGCTGTGGGGAGAACCCAGAGGGTGCTGGGCCCCAGCTGGGCCAGTGAGTGCAGCCCTGGGGGGGGTCAGGGCCAGCCAGTGCACAGCTCCCAGCCTTATTGGGACAAAGAATGCAAAAGGCCGGGGTTTGCTGCCAGCATCAATTCCCTTTCATGGCCCTGCTGCCGCCCAGCCTGGAGCTGGGGGACACGTAAACAGCCTGCCTGGCACCCCACTCCCCCAGCACCACCACCACCACACGGCTGGGCAGCAAATGGTCACCAGCTGGGGATGGCCCTTGGCCTGGCCACAGCCTGCCCTCACATTCCTGCCCCAGCCTGCATGGGCTTAAGTCATATCCCCAGGGCTGATGCCCTTCCCTACATGTGCCACAGGGCAGGGGGGCAGTGGGGGCCCCGGGGCAGCCCTGGCCCCAGCACTCCCTCCCCACACAGCTGCACTTACCCACTGGTAGCTCCCCACACCTCCCGACCAGCCCTGGCCCCTGGCCACGCACCCCAGCACCAAGCTAAAGGGAGGAAAAACAGCAAAGTAGTCAGCAGGGGGGGAGCACACACACACCCCCACCCCATGCCATCAAGCTGCTTTCACCCATGGGACTGCCAGCCCCTGGCAAAGAGGGCAGTGGCAGCCGCAGCCCATGCCACCAGTTCTGTACCTGGCTGCCCCAGCGGCCAGCACCAGGCTGGCCCAGGGGGGGCTGCTCCAGCTGGTGGCTTTGCCCTGCACTGGAGTCCTGGGCAGTGGCACGGCTGCCCAGGCTTGCTTCCCTCCAGGCTGCCTGGCGCTGCTGCCCCTTGGGCTGGGCAGCGCCTGGGGAGCACAGTTGGCCCTGTTCTGGCTCCTCACCACCATCTTCAGGTTCTGGACTGGGCTCTGGGGCTGGCTGCAGCTCCAGGAGCACGAGGGTCCCCGAGACCATGGCTGCAGGAGAGAGAAGAAGCTCGCATGGGGAAAGCCTGTGGCTACCTGCAGAGCATCCCTGCTCCTGCAGCCCCACCAGGCACCCATCTCCCCTGCCTGCACCTTTGGGAGACGCCATGCTGCCTTCTCCATCCCCTCATCCCCACCCGCAGCTGGTCCTGGTGCTGCTTTGGCCCCAGGCACACAGCCAGATGGGACTTTGCCACCGGCATTCATGGGGACTCACCCTGGGTGCTGGGTTTCTGGGAGTCTTCTGCCTGATGGCTGCGTAGCTCCTGCATTTCAGCTGGGACATGCTCCTGCTCCACTGCATCACCTCGCTTGGGGGCCTGGGGAAAGCAGCAGGTGAGAGCAGGGCCAGACCCATTCCAGTCTCTGACCAGGTCACCCTGTCCCATCCCTGCCACCCAGCCAGGGACACACCACAGGCTATGGCTTCTTCCCATGCCACCCAGGTCCCTGCCTGCACACTGTGGGGGATGGACAAGCTGTCACCTACACAGGGGTCACTGCAGGAGGCTGGCAGGGTGACAAGTGTCCCCACATCCCACAGTCTCCACCAGGCAAGGAGGAGGGTGATCTATCTGCTGAAGGGGAAGCCCAAACCCTGTGCACCCTGAGGCTCCTGGCACTCCTCTGTGTAGGGCTGATGTGGGGCCACAAGTACACCAACCTTGTCCAGCATAGATGCCAAGAAGCATGAGGAGAGGACAGTCCCTGCCCAGTGCTCCTGTCCCCTCCTGTCCCCCAGCCCAGGCACCTCAGGTCTCTGTGAGGCAGGAAGCACTCAGTTTTGCATCACCCTATCCCTGCCTGTGGCACAAGCAGCTCTGCCTGGCCAACGATGGGATGCTCCGGGCACAGGACCACATGCAGATGACAGGTATGTCCCTAACAAACACCTGAGTAGGGCCAGGGTGTCCTGGTGTCACCAGTCAGAGCACAGGGCACCAGTTCTGGCTGTGTCAGTTCCTCTTGGAGCACTGCAGGCTCCAGGGCAGGGGAGGGTGAAGAGAGGCCTCTACCCCAAGGGGGCACAGGGGAACCAGGACCCAAACATGCCAGCTACCACTGCATCCACTGTTTAAGGCAAACAGCCTCAGGTTTGGAGTAATCAGCTGGACAGAGCAGAACAGACCCATTGGCTGCTTGTCCCAGCACATCCAGATGGGGAAGACAGACAGTGCTGAAAGGTGGCACTGGGCCACATCCTCCTTGCAGCCTCTTGCCATGACCTCAGGGCAGGCAGAGGGCAAAGCTGGGCTGAATGGAGACGGATACGGGGACCCATGCCTTCCCACTCAACTGTGGTTATAACCACTGGTTCTCCCTTCCCCACCCTCTTCCCCAAACGGCAACCCCATCTGGTGTCTCTGCAGGAGCCTCCTACCACCACAAGAGCCACAGTCCCCTGCAGGGTCCCCACTGCTGCACAGGAAGCCCAGGATTGCACCGGCCCCTTCCAGCCCTGCCCACCAGCTCATCCCTCCTCTGGCCAGAGCCCCTACCACACCTGGCAGACACCAGCCTCGTTCCAGAGTGGGCCCTGACCCCTCAAAGGCCAACAGGAACAACCAGCATGGGGAGCGGGATGGGGGGGATCAAGGTTTCTGCCTGTGCAAGGGGCCTGATGCAGGCAGCTGCCACAGGCAGGACAAGCAGCCGTCACCTCCTAAGAGCACCATCCCCACAGAGCCGCAGCAGGCAGGGGTACACCAGGCACAGAGGGGCCCCACAGACCCCTACCCGCAGCACTCGCACCCAGGCTGCATCCTCAGGGAGTAACCCAGGGGCACCCAGGCCTGAGCCCCCAGGCCCCAGCTCACCACTGCTGTGTCCCCACACCCCCAGAGACCCTAGCTTCACCTGCCCCAGGTCCCTTGGCTGGGCAAGCCTGGCATGCCTAGGAGTTTGTGCCCCAGGCAGGCTGAGACAGGAGCCCAAGGGAAAGGCGAGGAAGTTTTCAGTGGTCCTGTCCCACCAGCAGTGCCACGCACACTCACCACTGAGCCTTCAGGCTCCTGGGCAGGGGGCTGCTCTGCAGCACAAACATGGCTGCTTTCCTCAGGCCCAGCCAGCACCCGCTGCTCTGCATCATCCTGCTCGCTGCTCTCCCTGCTCCCAGCCGTGGCTTGGGGCTCAGTGTTCTCCTCGCCATGGCTCTTCCCGGTCCTGGTCCCGGCCGACAGTGCAGTATCACCCATCCGGCTACTCTTCGTGCCGCCAGACAGAGCTGGTGTTTCAGCATCATCCCTACGGCTGCTTTTCACATCCCCAGGCACAGTGTGGGGCTCGCTGCTGTCCCTCTGACTGCTCTGTGCATTCCCAGCCAGGGTTGCAGCTGGATGAGAGCAAAGGTGGTATTTAGGAAGGAGCTGCTCATGTCCTGGGCTCTCTAGGGTAGCCACCCTGGGATGCAGGGACTGTCTCACCTTCAATCTCCTCAGCTCGTAGCTTGCGGATGGCAGCTCGGATCAGCTTGCGCTCCTCGTACTCACCCGCTGCCCGCAGCTGCAAGAGGGATAGACCCAGGAGAGAAGCAGAGTCACCCCGGCACACGGTCAGCCCCGGCACACGGTCACTCACCAGTTTGGTCAGCTCCTCCACATCAGTGATGGCTTCAAGCTGCCGGGCCAAGGCAGCTAGGGCTGTCTGCTGCTCCTCCTCCAGGTGCTGGGACCTGTGCAGTAGCAAGAGCAGCTGGCTGGGAGCTGCCATGGGTACTTGGAAGCAAAGTCCCCTCATGGGCAACCATAAAATTCAGGCAATAGGCCCCCCACACATGCCAAGCCACTCGCCGTTGGGCTGCTCTCACACTTGTATCTGCCCAAACCTGTCCCAGCCAGAGTGGGGCCAGGCATCAAAGCCACCGTCCCTTGGACAGAAGCAGGGGGTGAGCAGGACCCTGGCCCCATGCCAGACTCACCGTGGCCAGTTCTCCTTGTTGTCTTGTCGGTGGCTGCCACGCTCCGGGCGGAAGCGCTTGGATGCCAGCGCCTCCTCGTCCCGCTCCAGCTCCTGCCGCTGCAGCTCCCTGATGGCCGAGCGGATGCGGCGCCGCTCAGCCAGATCCAGCGTCACCTCCAACTGGGTGTGACAGGGCAGGGGCTCAGCACCGGCTCCAGCCACTGTGGCCGCTCGGCTGGGGCCTGGTGCCACCTCCGCCCGGCTGCCCGGGCTGCCCACACGCCACACAATGGGGCATCTGTCTGGCAGGGCCCATGCATGCAGCGAATGCTGCCCAGCACTGCCTGTCCCCGTGGGGAGCGGGCACGGCCCCTCCGGGCAGGATGCTGGGAGCAAAGAGGGGGTGCCATGGCGGCACTGAGACCTGCACGTGTGTGAGGGGCAAAGAGACAGGGGTGTGTAGCATGAATGCCTGTCAGTGGCCCACGTAGCCCTCAAGGGTCAATTCCCTGCAGCCCTGCCCCACCATACCAGGGACAA